TCCAGAGCACCCGGTCTACACAGGGTTTAGCTTTGCTGCAACTGTGTCTACATCGACCCTTACCAGGCCAGGAGGGGAGTAGGGAGAGCAGACGTTCTCTCATGCCAGTAATTAGGAGCCAAGCGTCCCCTTCCCACCAAGAAATTCAAATGGAGCAGGCACCAATGCCACTCCAGAGGTCTCACAGTAGCAGTTGCAAGAGGACCTGTGTGAGACAGCTCCAGCCATCCAGCAGTCCAGCCCCACAGCCCAGCACCAGGCGACAATGCAGACAAGTTGGTTTTTAGTTTTCTTTTTTCATTGTGTCCTTTCCTGGCTTTGGTATCAAGACGATACTGACAGTGTGCCAGTCTGCTGGATCATAGGTCCTCTGGGGGGTGGACCTCTGCATGGTATCGTGCGGGCGGGGATGTGTGTGCAGGGTGTGTGTGTGGAGGGAGGTCTTGTTCTGCTTGTTGGTGTGCTGGGCTGTGGGGGCTGGACTGCTGGATGGCTGGAGCTGTCTCACACAGGTCCTCTTGCATCTGCTACTGTGAGACCTCTGGAGTGGCATTGGTGCCTGCTCCATTTGAATTTCTTGGTGGGAAGGGGACGCTTGGCTCCTAATTACTGGCATGAGAGAACGTCTGCTCTCCCTACTCCCCTCCTGGCCTGGTAAGGGTCGATGTAGACACAGTTGCAGCAAAGCTAAACCCTGTGTAGACCGGGTGCTCTGGATCCAAGAGTTTGGAGTGGTGTTAGCTGTGGCAACCCAGGAACCGAGGCCAGCAGGTCCCTGCTGGCCCTGCCGTGTGATGCAACATCACTGTACAGTCTCCAGACAGTTCCCTGACCAATACTGAGGCCCATGGTGGTGGTGGGAGGCCCCCTCACAGTTCAAGTCTCAGTGTTCTTGTGGGGAGTGTGGGGCCCTGGGGTTTTCTCCTTTATCCTTTCCCCATGTTGTGTAGGTATCTCTCAGGTACCTTCCTATCTTGGCAAGTGGGTCTCCCTGTCCCTGTCTCCCTCACTCTGAGTGTCTCCCATGGCTTCTCTGATGATTTACAGTGCTCTCTTTAAGAGGGCTCATCTGTAGGTGGGCATTTACTTGCAAGTTTTAATTGTCTCCTTGAAAGCAGCGTGTGTGGGCTGCTTCCAGTCCACCATCTTGGCCTTCCTTCCCCTATACACTTAATTTTAAAGGAAATGCCAATGAGTCGATTATTTTTGTGAACTTCTATTTTGGCCAGATTTATGCTATAACAGTTTTAAATATATGAACTTTTATGTTTCTCATTACTTACTAATGTAAAATAAAATCTTATTCTTAATCATTATTGTAATAATTTTTACAACTATCTTTGATTTATTAATTTATGGTCATTATAGTCAATATTGATTAATAACCGTATTCCATAACTACAAGGCATAAGAATATTTTATGGAGCTGTACCAAACTGTAAGGTTGAACATACAAGGTTAGTAATAATACAAGTCTGTGTCCTCCTGTTTTCAACTTTTGAATGTATTTTACCGGTGAAGTTGTAGCAATTGATACACCCAGTTGACAAAGTGAAGCACAGAGATCTTAACTTTTAGCTATAGTTGTACTTTTTGACAGTCACTGAGGAAATCATTGGTGGTTCCCCCCTAAGAAGTGTGTTTAGAGTCTTTCAAAACAAATCCATGACGTCTGTCATTTTTCTCTGCTTTTCGTGCAGGAGGAAGAGAGTGAAGAGGAGCCCAAACTGAAGTATGAAAGGCTTTCCAATGGGGTAACGGAAATTCTTCAGAAAGATGCAGCTAGCTGCATGACAGTCCATGACAAGGTAAGGGAACACTGCGAGAGCATTGTTCCGTAAGTCGTTTCTGTTGTAAGTTTGTTTGTACTTTGCAGTCCTGAAACTTTTGTTGGTGGTTTTCTTACAGTGATCATGTCTCCCTGCTACTATTCCCTTCTTCCCTACTGACAAAAAACAAAACAACAACCCCAAATATTTTGTATATGTGTAAATACCCACGCAAACACATACAATACACTCCAAGTGTATATTAAGTAGAATTTATATAGTGATCAATGTGGAAACTCAATCACTGAATTGCTCAAATTACAAAGATTAGATTAGGAACATGTAAAGATTAGAAAATGTGAAGCTCTCTTTTATGAGGAAGAAGAGATTATATTGCAGGTGTTAGGAATCAGTAGAAATGCCCCAAAATATTGCTTCTATGTTATATGAATGAATGTGTATGTTCCATATCTGAGTTCTTGCTATAACAAATCTCCCACTAACTTTCTGAGTCCAGGCTAAGTACTGGTGGCACGGTTAGCCTATTCTTGGACCTGAACAGTCTGTGTCTTAGTCGGAATATTGAGGTCAGGGAGTTTGTGCTGTCCCTTTCTTCCTCCCTGTGAGCCTATGAGTCTTAGTTCTTCCACAGTAGGAGAACTCCCCACCTCTCCTGCCTTTATATCCTGTGTTACCAGCAGTGTTGCTCAAGCTCCTGCCGTGCTAATTCCTTTTTACTTCAGATTTTGTTCCATTGTAAATAGAGTCCTGTACTCACTCAACACTTTAACAGTGTTTTTGTTTAGTCTTGTTTTGCCAGAAACCCCCTCCTTTGAGGTGCCTGCTATAACACCATCGACCCCTCCTCACTGCTGCCATCTCCCAACTTCCTGTCACTGTCCCTCACTCACTGATGACTGGTTTTGCAGTTCTTCAACCTAATTTACTTCCAGTGACTTTCACTCCTTACCTGTTTCATCTCCAAGGCCACATGCTGGATGGTGTCAGCACTTGGAACAGGAGGATTTCCAGTCTCCATCATACTCTGTTGACCCCTTTTAGCCTTCAAGCTTTTGTGTTCACTTTCCCACAAACTTTGTTCTGTGACTTTGTGGAGTCCTGATCTCCAATCCATTCTTTTTCTTTTTTCTGTGCCTGTGAAATGATTAATTATTCTAACTTTACTTTACCAGCATCTGAATCCTCTTACATCTCTGATTTCCATTGTGCCTCCCAGCCAACTCTCAACTCTGAATAGTGAGTGCTCTAATGCCCAGGGCAGCATACAGACTTATGTGCCTATGTAAATTTGTCACTAAAAATACTATTATTTATTTGTTCTTCATCAGATCCTTTAGTCTTCAGTCTCCCTTCTCAACCACTGTCCCTTCCTTCCCAGAAGATAATGTCATTTTTATTTAGGAACATTGAAACCATCAGGCATGATGAGCCCCAGCTTCCAACCCCTTTCCCAACTCCTCTGGATCCACACCCATCTTAACCCACAGGAGGATTTCTTCCTCCTGTTCAAGGCCCTTTTTGTCCACTTTCTTCTTCATATCATCTTATTTCCTCCCTTTTCTCCCAGAGATATATGTTATGTCATAGGACATAACTAATGCCAGCCCCAGGTACCCACTAATCTACTTGCTATTTCTATAGATTTGCCTATCTGGGATATTTCATATAAATGCAATCATACATTATTTACTCTCTGCGTCTGGCTTCTTTCACTTAGTGTAATGTTTTTGAGGTTCATCTGTGACATAGAATCTATTGGTACTTCATTCCTTCTTATTGCTGAATAGTATTCCATTGTATGGACACACCATATTTTGTGTATCCATTCTGTTTATGGATGTTTTGCTGATTTTAAATTGTGGATCTCATCTTTCTTCTCAAAACTTACCATGACACCATTCTCTTATTTTCTCAATGATACTCATGACATCATGATACTCCCTTCTGTTTCTTTCACTTTCCTTTATATCCACCTTTCCTTTATGTGTTGATTTTCCCAGGATTTGGGCTATCCATCTACATTTCTTCTTAATTCGTACTTTCTCTTGGTTTTAAATCTCATGATTTCTATGACTACCTATGCAATGACCCTCATCTGAATAACATGCTTATTTATCTAGGTGCCTCCTAAACATCTCAGCCTTTCTTCTTTTTTTACCTGAAACTCAGCATATCCGTAATGAATTCATCTTATTTTTCCTCTAAACTGGCATCTGTTTTCTCTTCTCTATTCCATTTGGTGACATCACTATCTCCTTTGTCACCTAAGTTAAAGATGACTCCTTCTCCCCTTCCACCTAGCCATTCCTTAAGTCCTAGTGATTTTCTTACCACCCTTGTTCTAGTTTAGGCCCCCATCTTCTCCTGCTGTATAGGTAAATACGTGAATCTCTTGTGCCTCTGATTTTCCCACTGTAAACCCATCTGTCAGTTGGTTGCCAGAATGATCTGTCGAAAATACAGATTATAAAACCCTTGTATGATTTTCATCATCTGCTAAAATTGGGCTCTTTAATATGGTATGTAAGGCCCACTACCATCTTGCTCCCTGTATATGAGGGGACTTCAAAAAGTTAATGGAAAAATGGGATTAAAAGATAAAATTTTAAAAAATAAACTGTATTTCTCAACATAAGCTCCATCAAGGTCCAGACACTTTTGTAAGTGAAGATACCAATCATTTACACCATCTCCAAAGAACTGAGGGTCCTGGGAATTTAACTGTGTCATTCCAGTATTTTTTACATTATTAACTGAAGAAAAATTGGTGCTCTTTTAAAGACTTTTTAAGATTAAGAAACAAGACCAGGTGTGGTGGCTCACACCTGTAATCTTAGCACTCTGGGAGGTTGAGGTGGGAGGATCACTTGAGCTCAGGAGTTCAAGACTAGCCTGAGCAAGAGTGAAACCCCATCTGTACTAAAAACAGAAAAATTAAGTGGGTGTGGTGGTACATGCTTGTAGCCCCAGCTACTTGGGAGGCTGAGGTGGGAGGATCGTTTGAGTCCAAAAGTTGGAAGTTGTAGTGAGCTGTGATGATGCCATGGCACTCTAGCACAGGACAATAAGACCAGGACTCTTGCCAAAAAAAAAAAACGTTAGGAAACAAAAAGGAGTGAGAAGTCATCAAATCAGGACTGTAAGGTGGATGCCTAATGATTTCCCACTGAAACTATCTCAAAATTGCCCTTGTCTCATGAGAGTAATTAGCAGGGGCATTATTATGGTGAAGGACTCTCCGGTCAAGCTTTCTTGGATGCTTTGATGCTAAAGCTTTGGCTGACTTTCTCAAAACACTGTCATAATAAGCAAATGTTATTGTTCTTTGGCCCTCCAGAAAGTCCACAGGCAAAATGCCTGGAGCATCCCACAAAAAACTGATGTGCCTTGACCTTTACTCTTGACTGGTCCACTTTTGCTTTGACTGGACCACTTCCATGCCTTGGTAGCCATTGCTTTGATTTTGCTTTTTCTTTAGTATCATACTGATAAAGCCATGTTTCATCTCCTGTTACTATTCTTTGAAGAATTGCTTCCAGATCTTGATCCCACTTATTTAAAATTTCCCCTGAAAGCTTTGCTCTTATCTGCAGCTGATCTGAGTGCAACGGTTTGGGCACCCATGGAATGGAAAGTTTGCTCAACTTTAATTTTTCAGTCAGAATTGTGTAAGTTGAACCAGTTGAGATGTCTGTGGTGTTAGCTATTGTTTCTGCTATTAATCATCAGTCCTTTTCAATTAGGGCATGAACAAGATGAATTTTTCCTTCACAAATTGACGTGGATGTTCTGCCGCAATGGACTTCATCTTTAACATTGTCTCCTCCCTTCTTAAAATGAGTTGTCTATTTGTAAACTGCTGATTTCTGTGGGGTATTATTTCCATAAACATTTTGTAAAAATCAGTGATTTTACCATTCTTCTACTGAAGTGTCACCATAAATTTGGTGTTCTTGTTTCAGTTTTAGCAGAATTCATGTTGCTGTGATTGGGGCTTTTTTTTTTTAAACTAGTCTTATTCTTCTTAGTGCCTCAAACTAGATCTTGTTCGGACATGTTATAATGAGTTAGTATGAGTTTATTTTGGTGCAAAACATTTTGAAATCTTTGTATAGTTTTTTTGTAATATGCATTTTCCATAAACTTTTTGAAGACCCCTCTAAGATTGGTGTACGTCTTACCACTTTCTGCCATAAAGGTGGTGCTCTGGGAGCAACGCTTGGGTGTTTTTACTCACAACCCCACTTCCGCTTAAATCCACTCCCATCCTGAGCCCTTTCCTTCTGTTAATTTAGGCATTCATTATTTTTCCCTGGAACTAATACACATATGTATCATGAGCTAATCTATTTTCCTTTAGATATGCTTTCACTCTAGTCCATTCATAACACTTCTACTAAAGAGATCTTCCAGAAATTCCAATCTGATCATGTAATTCTCCTTCTTAGAATTTTTTATTGGCTTCCCGACGTCTTAATGATTTGGACCTGCTCACCCTGCTTTCCTCTGCTTTTCCTGCCTTTCATCTTTCCATAAATATTTGAATGCCTCTTATTAGCTGACCTTTTCAACCTCGTCACCTGTTTCTCCCACTGGGCATGAATTAGATGCTTCATCCATTATAAAACTGCATATAATTTCTTGATTTTTTCCCCTGCTTTTTATGTGACTCCATGAGCAAGTTGTATCCACTCTGCCTAAATAGATCCTTACCGCAAGCCTACCTTATCTGCCTCAGTGTCTATTTTCTACTTCCTCCTTTAAAGTTTAGCACAGTTGACACCTATTATGTTCCAAAGGGTCTTAGAGACACTTCTATTTTAAGCATATTCATTGAATTTAATTGTAATTACTTAATTTTTAATATCTATTTTCCGCCATAATTCCATAACCTTTTTAAGTCACCTTTGCTCTTTAAGCATGTTATAGTGCTTTTTGTCTATTGGTTGAGTGTACCACTAAGTGAATGAAATGAAGAACAAAGTTTGTCTGCTCTGAGGTCGAACTTTATCAACATTGTCCTTAAACCAATGTGGCCAAAGAGCATGGTGATTGCAAGTGGTAGTCAATGCTAACTTTTAGATCATGCACTCTTTGTCTGAGAGCCATGATTCTGATCCAGCTGAGGGTATTTCAGCTTTTAATACTGGCCCTAACTCAGCCACTCATTGACTGTTTACAGGGAAGTCTCATCAATTCCCCAACTTAATTCCTCATGAGTAACTGAAGGTGCACTCTATGCTCTAATGCTGTGAATACTATAAGACACTATGAGAAAGGTAGAGGATATTAGGCAGCTGACCAAATTTGAAATGTACTACTTCTTGTCTCTTTTGTGATGTCCAAAAAACTGCTTACCACCTCTTCTACTTGTTTATTTACTAAAAGTCCAATCTTTACAGACTTATATGTACAAATTACTTTAGTTGCTTACATAAAGTTCAAAGTAAAAGCAGGTGTGTTTAGTGGATTTCAAAGGATGGGATGGTCAATCTGATAGTTTATAAAGTGAATCAAGTTTCTATAATTCAACATGAAATGGACTAATGAAATTATTCCTTTTCCATCCTGGATTTTAAGTGCTTTGAGGTTAGAAACAAAAGTCAATAGTTACAGAAGCTCAAGACTTGTAATGGGCTGGAAGGAGAGTAAAATTTGAAGCATTTGTATTTATATTCTGTCACATTTGTGGCCAGTTTTGCATTTTTTGTTGTATTTCAAGTAGTTAAAAGCATTAGCAAATGAATATAGGACTCATCCATAATTTTAGTAGTTAAATAAATGTGATCAGCTTATTAAACTTTTTTTGAAGAGCACATATTCATTTCTAAAAGAAAGTAGGAATAACTAATCTAAATGGTGAAATGTTTTCCCAAACAAGAGGTCATAAAAACAAATCACTGAATTTCTTTTTCAAAAATATTGTAACATAATTATAGTTTTAGGATGAAACTATTAAATCAAAATAATATTTTATGTTTTCTTTCTATCTTAAATGTTAAATGAATAAAACTAGTAATTTTGAAAAAAAATGAAGAGAAGGAATTAATATTTGGGTAAAGTACCCTGTATGGAATCTCTAAAACTTCCGTAAAATAAAATGTAATTAGAAGTTCAAAAATAGCCTTTACAGAGGTGTCAGAGAATGACACAGTATTAAAGTATTTTAAGGATCCAATCTCCCTTGGTTTCCTAACAAACTAAATACAGTATTTATGAGGAGAATCAATACTGTGAGATACTTGGGGTGCTGTGAGCTTTTAAGACCCATTCTTTTACCACAGATAGCCTCAGAATGGAGTATTGTTTGTTGTTAGTTCATATCTTGTGTGGTGTTTCTCCCTTTAAATATTGTCAGAATGTCACAGTAGAGATAAAATTACAACCATTTGAGTCCCCTATTTCTGATTAGAATGTTCTTTTGCTCTGGAGGAAACATTCCTGTTTGGTTTAAATATTCAGACTAATTTCCCCCCAGAATTACCTCTTCCCCTTTCCCTTCCAGCGCCCAAGCATCCTCTTTTCACCAGGCTTGCTGTCCGCCCTGGATGACTAATCGTCATGGCACCTGGTGCATTCAGGCAGGCCTGTGCAGCGGAATCGTCATACCTAGTTATGTCTGCACACCTGATGTTTTATTAACCAGTATTGATTTTTTTACCCTGGGGACTTTTTTCTTCCTGAAAAAAGGCAACCTTGCAGGAGTGAAAGGCATTGCAGGGGATGAATTTCTAATGAACCCCTTCTTTCCCTTTTTGTGACTCCTCTTTAATGTAGCTTCATATTTTAAGTGCCTGAACTGAAATTTCATTTTAAGCAATTCCATTTTGATAAATCCTTTTAAATCTTGACTTTCTGTAAGGTTATTTTTTAAAGATTGTGCTGCTTGACTGAAACGCTTAGTAGTGCCTGTAAATTTGAGCATTTCATTATGGGTTGCATTGAAGCATGTTCACATGCAATGAAATACAGAAAATTTTGGACTATTTGAGTAATGCTTAAAGAAATAAAACGGAGGAAAACTCTCATGTCATATTTTAGGTAGTCCTAAAGTTTCTTCTGGTTTGCTTAAGTGTTAGTGCAGAGAATTAAAGAGTAGGAGTTGTGAACTAGTTCTATATCATAAAATGAATATTTTGCTCAAGTTATTTTATGACAGAAAAGGATTTTTTCTGCATTAGAATATAAACATTTACACTCAGTATTATACATTAACTTTTATTGAGGCATATTAAAGCTAACTGAAAGCATAATATATCTGGGTTTTTTGGTACCTGAATATGGCTTGGATTTTTCAATCTAAAATATATTTTGTTTTTTGTGTGCATGTGTGCAATTTAAATGATAGCACAGATTTACACATTTGCCATAAATTAGGGGGAGTTTCTTAATCATTCCTTGCTGACTTTGAGTTCAGCTGTAGGTTGGTCGTGCTTTCACGGCTGCATTTTTAATTTACTGCCTCAGTCCATCAGGCATTGTGTACAGACTGCATACACACCATTAGTTGTCAGTAGATGAGGGTCCTCATGAGTCATTCTGACAGCTAGCTTGCACTATCACAATAAAATAGGCCCTGTTCTGTTATTTCCCTGAAGCTGGAAACAAGCCTTCTCCAAGGAATGCATATCTTCCGAGACATTGCAGATCATTTATACATTAAGCATCTTGACTTTCAAAATGGTTTAATTACTAATTGTGTATTAATAGTACATTAATCTACCTCTTTGTTCTTCTTACAGTTTTTGGCACTGGGCACACATTATGGCAAAGTTTATTTACTTGATGTCCAAGGGAACATCACTCAGAAGTTTGATGTAGTAAGTATATGGTATAAAATAATGTATGGCTAAACTTTATGCTAAGAATATGTGCTTTAGAATATGAGTTTTAACAGTTTGTTTTGACAGTATAAAGAGCATCTTTATCAATTAAATCAGTGCTAAGGATATAAATCTGAACTTCATTGTATATTCTAAAAATTTTAAAGGTGACTTATAAAGAAAGAGGTCTAAATATATATATTATTTATTTTGACTGGGTATCTTTTGTATATTTAATATAAACTCCATGTAAAAATCCATTTTTATAAATCTGTTTAATTATAATTCTTTAATTATAATCATCCATTTGACTTTAAATTGAGCATTCAGAATACTCTTTTGTGGTTTTTTTTTTTTACATTGTAATAATGTAGAATATCTAGGTGAACTGTTACTAGAAGAAAAAATGCTGCTTTGTTGGTGAATAATGGTGCTAATTTATACTCAGGGAGTTTGTGGCATCCTAAAGTACTAACCCCTTCATTTGGTGACTAATGTCAGTTGTAAGTACATGCCCTGTCATCTTACTGAGATCAATCTTATTGATCACCTTACTGAATCAGCTTATCTCTTCTAAATACATAAAGTTAAAATATTTTATGTGAATGTTTGGATGCTTGGACTCTTGGGATTATATTGATTGAAAGCAAAGAATCAGGCTTTTAATTTTTTTAGTTGTGATTTGGCATCGTTGAGGATAAAAGAACTATTGAATTTGAGGCTTGATTTTGGTGTTTAAGGTCTACCTTAAAAGTATCAAGAGCTTCTGTGGTTGTGTGAGTATTAACATTTGTGGTTAAAAAGATGATTGTTTTGGAGGACAGTTGCTACTTTTTTGAAAAAACTGTGAGTGCTTTTCAAAAGATCCATCATAAGGTATTTGTGTAGCTTCTAAAGGAGGCTATAGTTTCTGAAGCTGAAAGGAAAAGGGGTACCTTGTTTTGCTTAAAAGAAATGGAACCACTGACTGATGACAGACTCTTTGGAGCGGCCCAGAAAGGGCAATGTGTGCTGTAATCATACTGATACATCAGGCAAATTGTGGCTTCTTGTTTTACTTTAGCATCCCTTTCAAAGGACAAGCGAAATAAACTTTGACCCTCCTTTATTTACCTTCTGGATGCTGGACGTGCATCTTGATGACCTAAGTATTTGGTCTTTCAGTCGCCATCCATTAAAATATGTTAGCTGGTGGTGGCCTAGGGCTGTTTTTTGTTGAGTCATGCATGCCTCCTCACCTTTAGAAAAGACTTTGCCTGTATGGTCTCTTAAATTTCTTGCTCCAGTGTAATTATTCTCTGATACTCTGCTTCTAAGTAAGTCTTTTTAATATTGTATAGAAATGACAGTGCTTGCTTGCCAAGGTGCATGGGCATATACCATTAGTTCTATTACCAAAAGTCAGTCCTTGTATCTACTCTGTAAAAGCTTTCAGTTATATCTTCTCTGATGTCAGTTTTATGTCAAGTATATCCTACATCCATCCTCTTTCAGGTAATTTGTGGTATCACCCATAAATTTACCCAAATCTTTCTTCAGTTGTTTTTCAGTCTTGCCTATATGACATCTTTGAAAATTAAGCTCTCTATAGCTTTGCACGTTTTTTTTTGCAGGGGTGGATTGGGGAGGACATGGTTTGGTGCTATTTCTGTGTATTTACTCAGGCAGTTGGTAGTCTTCTGTTGACAAGTTTTTCATAAAGCCATGGCTTCTTCATGGTCATCATCATATTAGCTATATGGCATTCAAGTGACAAGTTTCAGATTTTTGTTATGTTTTGAGAAGAGTCTTAATCTCATGTTCTCACCTCTGAGATTTTCCCCTTTCTGATGATGGTGTTGCTTTTGTAGGGGTCTGTATCACTCTTCTTATAAACGGATTCTTTCCAATTCCAAAAACATTGTTCTGACTTCGATTTGCTATCTTTGAGTGCAATGGTTGCCATAGTTAGTCAAGAACTTTTCTCTTTAGTAGAAACACAGAGAAACAAACATTTAAAAAATTAATGAATAAACATCCCTGACTTTAGTTATCACTTCTAGGTAATTAATTTAAACAAATTAAAATTAAGTAAAATCATACCTTACATTTATATAACATTTTTTATTTTCTCATGAAATATCTTTTTCACCCATTCATTGCATTTAAGTTTTGATTCTGGTAATAAAAGTCATGAAGCGGTAGTTTCTAATCCTCACTAACTGGTAGGAATTTGTTTGGCAGGAATCAAGGAATTGAAGAATGATCAAGGAATCATTCTTTTTAAAAGATTTCCCAGGTGATTCTGGTATTTGAGTTGGGATGGAATCATTGTACTAGAGGGTATCTAACTTTACTTTAAATATATGTGATATAAAATAAGAAATAACTAAACAAATCATTCTGCATGTTGCAAAAAGATATTTCTTTTTCCATTAATATTTCAGAAGAAATGCTGTTAGGCAGAATCTATTAAAGTTAAGCATATGCCTGTCATTGCAGTTGCACTCTTGAATATGTACTCAAGAAAAATGCATGCAATGCATATGTCCCCCAAAAAACATATAGAAGATGTTAATTGTAGCTTAATTCATAAGCGCCTCAAACTGGAAATAACTTAAATGTCCAATGAATGGATAAATAAATTGTGGTACATTCTTAGTAATTAATAAGAACAAACTATCAATACATCCAACAACATAGATGAATTTCACAGACTTAATGTTCAGCCAAAGAAGCCAGACAAATGTGTACATGTGTATGATAACTTTTATATGATGATCAAGAAAAGGTAAAACTAAACTATGATAATAGAGTCAAATAATGATTTGACCTTGGAGGGAACACAGGGGAATCTTCTGGAGTGCTGAAAATATCCTGTCTGATGATTTCCCAGGTATACACACATGTAAAAATCACTAAACTATGTATTTGAGATTTGTCCATTTGATTCTGTATGACTTGTACCTCAGTAACATACTTGCACAAACACCTACATATGTGTATGTGTCTTTAGTTGATCTTGAGCAAAGCTCAAACTATCCTTGTCTGTTGAAGCAACCCTTTCTGCTACTCACTTATAAATATCAACAAATTTCCTACGTTGGTGTCAGAGATCTTTATGTAAGTGAATCATGCCATGGAAGTTTCTCCCATGGCTATATATTCTTCTGTGCTTACATTAATAGGTTAATAGGATCCTGTGTCATACTATGTCTATGTCTGTGATTGTTCTATTAATCAGGAATGACAGCTACTCAGGTGACACTTTATATGTTGATACCCAGATTTCAGTATATTTGATGGAATATTCAGCATATATGTTAATTAAAATGCTTTAGCCACAAATGGTTTTTTGAGATTACTTTTAGATACTGCTTTATGTTAACTCAAACCTAATGGATAAAATTCAGTTTTACTTAACTCACAGAATAAAATAACATGACTTAAAAAGTCCTTAGAGGATCTCAGATTCTTTTTGAATTCCCACATGATATTTTTGCTCATAAGATGCCATGAATCATAGTATAGTCATCTGTCACTTAACGAGTACATTCTGAGAAGCGCTTCATTGGGAGATTTTTGTCCTTTTTGCAGATGTTACAGCGTGTACTTACACAAATTAAGGTGATGGAGCCTACTCTACCTCTAGGCTATGTGGTGTAACCTACTGCTCCAGGTCTACAAACCTGTACTTCATGTTACTGTACTGAATACCATGGGCAGTTGTAATACAGTGGCAAATATTTGTGTATTTAAACATATCTAAACACAGAAAAAGTACAATAAAATACAGTATAAGAGATGAAAAATGGTGTGCCTGTACAGGGGACTTGCCATGAATGGATCTTGCAGGACTGGAAGTTGCTCTGGGTGAGTCAGTGAGTGAGTGGTGAGTGAATGTGAAGGCCCAGGACACTACTGTACACTACTGTGGGCTTTATGAACACTGTATAGTTAGGCTACACTAGATTTATATTAAAATTTTTTCTTCTTCACTAATGTATTTATCCTTAGCTTACTCTAACTTTTTTTACTTTATAAACTTTTTAATTTTTCAAGTTTTTTAATAACATAGCTTAAAACAAACACATTGTACAACTATGCAAAAGTATTATATTTTCTTTCTTTATATCATTATTTAATAAGCTTTTTTCTATTCGTAAATTTTTTTTTACTTTAAAAAATTTTTTATTAAAAACTAAAGTAAACATACGTTAGCCTAGGCCTACAGAAGGTCAGGACCATCAACATCACTGTCTTCCACCTCCATATCTTATCCCACTGGAAGGTCTTTAGGGGCAATAACATGTATTGCCTATGATAACAATGCCTTCTTCTGGTATACCTTCTGAAAGACCTGCGTGAGGCTGTTTTCCAGGTAACTTTTTTTTATAAGTAGGAGTACACTCTAAAATAACAATAAAAAGTGCAGTTTAGTAAATACATAAACAAGTAACAGACATTCATTGTCATTATCAAGTATTGTATACTGTACGTAATTGTATGTCCAATGCTTTTATATGACTGGCAGCACAGTTTTATTTGTACCACTATCACCACAAACATGTGAATGTTGTGTTGCTACGTCACAATGGTGACAATGTCACTAGGCAAAAGGAATTTTTCAGCTTCATTATAAACTGATGGGACCACCATGGTATATGGTACATGTGGTTCCTCCTTGACTGAGACATTGCTGTGCGGCACACGACTGCAGGTACTTTCTCCTTAATAGCTTCCACTTTCCTTAAGCATATTAATTTAAAGCTCACTAATTAAGAGTATTTACTTGGAAGCGATTATCAAATTATTGTGCCATCTGTCTGTTGAATATTTTGGAGCATTATGCCATATGTTTTAAATATTATTCCTTTAAGTATGCTAGTGGGAAAGCAAAGAACTCCACTGATAAACATAAATTTCTACTGTTTACCTTTGGTTTTTTTTCTTTGCTAGAAATAGAAAATAATGAGGCTTTGTTGTGAGGTGCTATGACAGGAGATGTTAGATAAATA